AGTTTAGACATCTTTTTTCCCCCCTTCTCTCTCTTCTCTCATTCTGGGACTACAATTATGTGTATGTTAAGTGTATGAACACTTAACAATTTCTTACAAGCCTCTGAGGCTTTGGTCATTTTTCTTTATTCTAGTGGTTCTCAACCTGTGGGTCATGACCCACAGGAATTGTATTAAAGGGTCGCAGCATTAGGAAGGTTGAGAACCACTGCTTTATTCTTTCTGTTCCTTAGGCTGGATAGCATCAATTGCCTATCTGCAAGTTTGTTGAGTATTTCTTCTTCTAGCCCAAATTTACTGTTGAGCCACTCTAGTGAACTTTTCACTCCATTTGAACATTTCAGTTATGGTACTTTATAGCTCCAAAATTTCTATTTTTTTAAAATGATTTCTATCTTTTTATTGATATCCTTTATTTAGTGAGACATAATTCTCGTGGTCTCCTTCATTTTTTTTTTCTTGCAGTTTTTGGCTGGGGTTGGGTTGGAACCTACTACCTCCAGCATATGGGGCTGGCACCCTACTCCTTGAGCCACAGGTGCTGCCCTTCCTTCATTTCTTTAGACATGGTTTCCTTTAGTTCTTTGAACATATTTTTTAGTAGCCAATACATCTTTGTTTAGTAAATTTATCTGGGCTTCCTCAGAGACAATTGCTATTGACTTCTTCTTTTTCCTTTTTTATTGCCATACTTTCTTCTGTCTGTGCATGACTTGTGATTTTTTGTTAAAAGTTGGACATTGAACATAATATAATGTGCCTCCTCTGGAAATATTCCTTTTCTCCTTTCTAACATTTGTTGTTGTTGCTGATTATTGTTGTTGCTTTTTCTTTGTTTAGGGGCCTTCCTGGACTAATTATTTAAAGTGTGTATTTTTTTTGTCACGTGCAGCTATTGGATTCTGAATAATGTTTGTTTAGTTTAGTGGTCAGTTTAGATGGAGATTTCCTTTAATGCCTTGATCCAGTAAGTCTCCCACTTTGTGCTGGTAGCTCTTTGTGTGTGTTGGAACACAGCTTCAATGCTCCATGAGGTTATTGCTCTGCCTTTACCTGCATTTCCTGCTTGAGCAGGGTTGGCCAAAGGTAAGAAAGTAGGGGTCTCTCAGATTTCTGAATGTTTACATAGCCTTGCTCATGCACATGCCCTCGGCATACCCAAGAGTATATTGTAGCTTTTCAAAGCTCCTCTGGAAATCTTATGCCCTAGGTTTTCAGTGTACCTTTTTGAGTCTTCTGCTGGCATCATTACTTCAGGCAGATGAGATGTTATTTTTGCTAAGCACCCTGGGGATAGGGCTCTTCCCACTGAACAAGCTCTGCATCAATCCCAACAAAGACAAGCTCTGTGTACAGTGCTTTTCCAAGGAGAAGACAGATCATTCTTTGAGCATAAATTTTTGAGGAGCTTCAATCTGTTCTGCCTCCTTCAGTGGTTGCTAGTTTTCACAAGTACTGTGGTTGTGACATTGTTGGTTTTTAAGGCCACTGTGGAGCTGTGGGGGAGGAGCAAATTAAAACACTATAAACTTTACTATTTTTAGCAGGATTCAGATATTTTTCCCTAATAAACATTTCTTGGGTCGTTGCAAACCTTTTGCTAATTCCTGGAGTTCTTAAAAGGTCAATTTTCCCCACTGTCCTTGCTGGTTTTATGAAGGAGCAGATTTTTGGAGGTTGTTACTCCACCTTTTCAGAAGTGCTTCTTTCACTGGATTTTTCACAAAAGTTTCTTGGGGCCATTGTGGATAAAAAACCTCTAGCACTAAAACTGGTGATGTAGGGCTGGTAGCTGCAGGAGATCTGCTGAGTGCCTCTGTCTCCGTAGGTATAGTAGAAACCTCAGCCAAGTACAATGTGCTTGCTTCATCCTTGCCTTCTCCTGCCTCCTACCTCTTTGTTCTTCATTTGCCCACCAGGCCCTCTTTCTCCATCCTTCCTTTCCCTCCTCCTGTCAACAGGCTCTTATAGACCATCTCCTGAGTACCTGGGGGTCCTTTGCAGCCCCTGCCCTGAGAAGCTCCTGCTTTGGTGGAGAGGCAGGATGACTTTGCAGACCAGCTCACCACAACCAGGTGCAGGAAGTGCTGAGACCGAGGGAGGCATCTAGGCCAGAGGAGAATGATGGACACTTTGGGGGAAAGAAGGGTCTGGGAGGAGAAAGGATCCTTCCCAAGGCTCCTAGAAAGAGGACTCAGAGTACAGAAGCAATTCTGGGCTTCTCCAGTTAAGAAAACAGCAGGGGGCCAGGTGCGGTGGCTCATACCTGTAATCCTAGCACTCTGGGAGACCAAGGTGGGTGTATTGCTTAAGTTTGTTGAGTTTGAGACCAGCCTGAGCAAAAAGCGAGACTGTCGTCTCTACTAAAAATAGAAAAACTGAGGCAAGAGGATCAGTTCAGCCCAAGAGTTGTAAGTTGCTGTAAGCTATGATGCCATGGCATTCAACCCAGGATGACAGCCTAAGACTCTTATCTCCAAAAAGAAAATAGTAGGGGATGGGGTGGGAAATATATTCCATGTCAGAGTCAAACACAAGTTGCAAGACCATGAGGTATCTGTCTCACAGGTAAAGGCTCCTATTCAGAGCTGGAGAGGCCCTTGCTCTCCAGGGAGGCAGGATTCCCCCATCTGCAGGTCTGCAGCTATAGCAGGAAGGCCTTGTAGGCAAAGAGGATTTTTTCCCAAGGACACAGGAAAAGGCCTGTTTTGTATAAGGGACGGTGCCAAAGCCAGGATATGCATATTTGTGAAACTATCTAGAAATAAACACCAGATCTCGCCAAGGCCAATCAGAGAGGGATATCTACTCTGTGCAGCTCACCTTGTTTTCTGATAGGCAGAGAATCAGGACACTGCAAAGGAAAACGGAGGAGGCGCTGCCTTAGACAAGACACCTCTCCCCTGGGAGTTTTAGTTTCCTTATCTGCAAAATGGGAATAATAACATCCTCTTATCTTGCAATGCTCTGAAGAGCCCACGAGATAAATGATGTGAAAAAACTCAGCATAGTGTCAGGATCAAGGAAGTCCTTGTCTTTCTTTGACTTTTAGATTCTGATCAACTGGAATTATAATCCTAACAGATTTTTGAATACACTGAATAATGTTACTCTTTGTCATAAAAAAGGTGACTTCTTCATTTCTTTCCAAAAAGCATGTTAGGAGCTTACAACAAAAGCCAATAAACCCTTTCATGAGGATGGAAAACAAGAACGGAGTAATGAGTTGGGTGGGGTGTAACAGAGTGATTATATACAAAATCTAGACTAAAGGAAACTCTAGCTGTAGAACACGAAACAGCCTTCAGCTTCTGGAAGTCAAGGTGAAAAGAGAGACTTGGAGAGTGTTTCCTGTCAGTGGGGGTTTAAGGCGTTTATATGGAGGCCTCTGTGTGAGGAACATGATGCTATAGACACACGGCTGCCCAGCTCCAGGGAGGACTTGGAGGCTCGGGGAGAATCTGCCACCGTATCCCTTGGGTCCAATCAGCTTGGGGGTGGTCCTCTTGGTGGTAGGTCCCTCTGGCCTCACTATTGCACCCTCCCTGTGAAGCTGCCTAGGGACTAGACATTCATTCATTCATTCACTGTGCCATGCATTTATATGCCTAGGGCCTGTTCTGTGGTGGGTGTGGAGTAGTACCCCTCAGCCAGAGGGTTAGAGAAGGCTTTCTAGGGGAGATACTTGAGCTGGACTTGAAGGACGGAGAGTAATGAACTTGGTCAAAGTCCAGGAGGGGCCCCTCTGAACAGGGGAGGATACAGTGTAGAGACTCAGAGGGTAGAGGGCCCTGGACACTCACAGTGAGGCTGGAGGTAGGAGATGTGGGGTGGTGGTGATGAGAACAGCAAGAGGCCATGGCAGTGAGGACACAGGGCCTGTATCTGAGGTATCCTAGGAGGAGGCTGATGAGGACTTGGTGTGGGAGGGTAGGAATTGAGGATGATGCTGGGTGTCTGCACAGGGAAGCAGATGACCGTATGCGTCTTCCTGCAATGTGGAAGCTGCAGGAGAGCAGACTGGGGAGATGCTGGCTTCAGTGGGACAAGATCCAACCACCCAGAGGAGAGGCTCTGGCTGGAGATAGGGAGGGGGTGTTGTCAGTGTCACACGGGAACTGAGGCCACAGGAGTCGGAGGTTGTGGAGAGAGGGGAGAGAAGAGGGCCAAGGAGATTAATTCAATAGGCAAGTGGGGTCCTAGGAAAAAGGCACAGAAGAAGGAGTCGGGTGAGGCAGGAAATGCAGCCTCAAGTCAAGCCACAAGTGTCAGGGCAGGGGCAGTGGTCCTCAGTGAGGGCCAAAAGAGATAAAGATACAGGAAGCTGTCTGCAAGTGTGGCCATCGAGGGTCAGCAGTGACTGTGGCCAAGGTAATGTAGAGGGGCTGTGGACAACTGGAAGTCAAGGTGGAAGGGGTGGGATCCATGCCTCTCGGAGAAGAGTCACTGTGGGGCAGGGGTGGGGGAGCAGGGGCAGACCCCTGAGTGAGAGTGAGTTCATTCTGGGTGAAGCCAGAGGGAAGGGCGGTGAGGACATGTGAGCTTGGAGATCATGTGGAAAGAAGGTGGAGTCTCTTCCCGGTGGGTCTGCCAGGAAAGGACAGGCCAAGTCTGAGGGTGGAGACAAACAGGAGAACTGTCATGTCACATTGAAGAACCCAAAAGCAGAGGAGTCTGCTGTGGAGTCATCACCTGCTGCCCCAGGGAGGAGACCATAGCAGAGTGGGAGATCAGGGACTGAAGTATTCCGAGGCTGGCAGTGAGATTCAGGGGTGGCTGAGGCAGGAGGGGTAGTTCTGGAATTGCGGAAGTCAAGAAGCCAAGAAGCCAAGAAAAGGCAGTACTGGGCACTGTGGCCTCTGGAAACATCAGGTGGACTTGGGAGGGAGGGGAAGCCTGGCCAGACTGAGGGCTATGACTGAGGGTGAGGAGTAGGTGGTCAGGACCGGGCCTGAGCATGTTCCAAGGCTGGACCAGGAACTGGGAAAACTGGGACTCACCGGGGTCGCCTCTTCTCCCAGGTTTGCCACGCCGTCCAGGGGCCCCTAAACAGGAAAAAGAAGGATGGATTTGTTGAGATGGGAAGCCAGTGGGCTTGGGCACAGCCGGCTTGGGGCTCACCCAGCCCACCCACTTCCAGTACCCACAATAGGCTTCCTGGGAGCAGGCAGCCTGAGGCTGGTCTGCTGGCTGAGGAGGGGGGATAGGTGGCAGAAAACCCTTCCTTTTGTGCCACCTCAGCTCTGTCCCTCCATACTCCCCTGGCACTGGTGGCTGAATTCATCACCCCTCACACACTCACTTGTCCCCTGTTCACGTATTCACCCTCAGACCCTCCCCTAGTCAAAAAACTTCACAATGGGAGACTCTTGAGGCAGAAGGGTTTGCAGACTTAGGAGAAAAGTAAGGGTGACAGTTATCTTTTGAAAGCCTGACAAGGGCTTTTTCATATTCACTAAACTAAAACAACAAAGCCAATGCAATAGATGTCATGGCATCTCAAGTGCTACAGATGCATCATGACTGGCACAGTGTGATCCATTTGCCAGTCTGGAGCCTTCAGCACCTCCTTCCCCACTGCCTGGAATTGCTCAGATGCTTGCAGGTCACTGCATGCCACCGTTTCCATGTCCCTCCTCCACCCACACATTGTAAGCTTTTCTGAATTTATGATGCAGACCATCCTGCCTCCTGCATGTCAGTCCCTGAGATCTGAGCGACCATGACCCTGAAGAAGAAGAAGGCTCTGGGTCAGAGGTCCAAGCTTTTGCTTGCACTGTGAAAGTGGAGGTCTGAGGCCCAGAGGCAACAGAGGAATAGCCTGTGTCCATACTACAAGGCACTGCCATTTCCTGCAAAATTCAACCTCAAAACCCCTCACGAATTCCCAGAGCAACCTCGGAGGAGGCACAGGAGACTGGCCCCGAGGCAGGTCTGGGTAGGATAGTCGTGGAGAACTTAGCGTGCTTGTGTTTCCCTTTTTCCTCCTCTGCATTTCTAGGGTAGTCAGGCCCACTTGTGCACCCCTGCCCCGGGGTTGAGACCAGGCAGAAAAGCAGATACAGCCCAGGGTCAGAGGTGCTTCCTGACTCTTGTTAAGGGGTGCCCTGGATGGGGAAGGGGGTCCCTCATGTTACATCAGACCCTAAAACCTTTTCAGGCCCAGGGTGAGGTGAGAATAAATTTCTTTCTTTCTTTCTTTCTTTTTTGAGACAGCGTCTCACTATGTCACCCTTGGTAGAGGGCTGTGGCGTCACAGCTCACAGCGACCACCAACTCTTGGGCTTAAGCCAGTGGTTCTCAACCTTCCTAATGCCTCCTAATGCCGTGACCCTTTAATACAGTTCCTTATGTTGTGGTGACCCGCAACCATACAATTATTTTCATTGCTACTTCATAACTGTAATTTTGCTACTGTTATGAATCGTAATGTAAATATCTGATATGCAGGAGGTAATGTTACAAAGGGGTCGTGACCCATGGGTTGAGAACTGCTGGCTTAAGTGATTCTCTTGCCTCAGCCTCCCAAGTATCAGGGACTACAGGTACCTGCCACAACACCCCGCCATTTTTTGGTTGTAGTTGTCATTGTTTGGCAGGCTCAGGCTGGATTCGAACTCTCCAGCTCTGCTGTATGTGGCTGATGCCATAGCAGCTGAGCTACAGGGGATGAGCCAAGGATAGATTTCTTGCCAGACTCATGAACTGGGGGCTTTAATTTTTTAACAAAAAATAAAAAATTAAAAAATGTTACTTCTTGCACCCTTGAATTTTGCCAGTGACACAGTGCTTCATTTTCTTTGTCCAAGAACAAACCCTGAGTTGGTGTTTGAGCTGGAATTGCTAGGGGGCTGTGTGGACTTGGCAAGGCCAAGACTCTGGTACCCCCATAAAACATGATGGCTTCTCATGCCTACATTGCACTTATAGCTTATGCAGCACCTCCGGGCCACCTTCTCAGTCAAGGTCTGTGACAATCACATGAGCAGCCAACTATCTCCCCAATATTTCCACATGGTGCTTCACCAACATCTCAGGCCCTTCATGGCCAAAATACCCGCCTTCATCTCCTCCCCTGCACCCTGTATGGGGCTGATGGTGCTTCAGAACCTCCTGACCTAGTCACACCGGATAACGAATCCCTTGGGTCTGCAGGGCTGGCCAGTACCCTTGGGTGGCCTTTTCTCCTCTGTGGGTACATCTGTTCAGGATAAGCAAGGGTGTTGGTGCAGGAACGTGCTCCTCCCACTGCAGCAGGGAAGCTCCACAGAAGGCTTGTGGTTGGCTCAGCCTGGCTGCTTGTTTGGGGCCTCAGGCTGAGAAGTGGGAAAGGGCAGGAAAGGGGTCATGAGTGGGAGAGTTAGTGAGGTTCTGTTGGACCCAAAGCTATATCAGATTTCCTGATGGTCATTACCAGCTATGACTATAAAATTCTTAGTCTAGGTAACTTGAGCCATATGAAGGTATTTGCCTTCACTGAGGTGGCTGAGCTAGTGGATGTGTCTGGGTGGTTGTCCTGGGTGGCAAGGGCAGGCAGAAGGCCCCATGGGGCAGGGATCTTTGGGGGAAGCTCCTGCAGGCCTGGAGCTGGGCAGGACTGGGATATTCTGAGCACACAGGGCCTATGGGGCTGTAGCCCTGGTGGGCTGGGTATGACTGTTACTGAAAGGGCCCACGTGAAGACAAGGAATGTGGCTGCTCCTGAACACCCTCAGGGCTGGTCCAAACCAGGCATGATGATCAGACTTCTGTGACTAGCTCAAAGATAGCTGGTCTACCCTTGCTTCTGAGCTTCATTTTCAAGTCTTCAGCTTCATGCCCAGACCAAGCTCACCTTCCAATTTCCCACATATCCCCCACTTCCTGGAAGTTTCTCTTGCACCTATGTTCAGGTGCCACTAGTACCCAGGTAGCCAAGACAGATGCCACCCGAGAGTCTCCCTGTCTCATCCTCCTGCCCTATCCCTAGCCTACATCCCTTCCTCCCTCCCCAGCATCCTGAAGATGCCCCCCACACCCTGTCTCTCCCTCTACCATCCACCCTTCCTCCCAAGCTCCATTCTTCCTCCCTGCAGAGGGCAGCTCTCTGGAGAGCACATCTCTGCATCTCACGCAGCTGAGTCCCAGTTCCCACTAGGAGGCCAGCCTAGGGGATATTTGCTAAGGAAATAAAAGAGGTACGTGTGGCCAAGGAGGCTGGGGTCTCCTCACCATTTCCTGGCATTCTCTGAAAAGACCGTCAAGTCTAACAAGATCCAGGGCCACGTGGTTTGATGGGTATAGGCTGTTGAGACAGGGAGTGTGGTCCGCACTTTACTCAGCCCGCTGCAGGAAGACATGAGCCAGAGCTGGGCTCCGCGCTGATGGCAGGGCTCCCAATCTGCTGCTTTTGCAAACAGGGCGGCTGGGTACACAGGAGATCGGGGTTGTGGGAGCTGTAGGTGGGGAGGGCAGGAAGGATGGCCCTTCATGAGTTTCCAGATCACCAGGTGCTGAGAGCCTGCTGTGGGCAGCAGCTGGAGCTTAGCAACTACTGACTCATCCAGTGACCATGAACCCAGGTCCCTTTTGCTTTAGGTCTTCCACAGCTCACCCAACAGGCTCATCTTCTCCCCTGACAGTCCTTTGAATAAGGTGCTAGTGTCTCCTGTACAGACGAGAACTTGGAGGGTGAACTAGGTGGAAAGACCTGCTGGAGGGCATATTGTTGGTGCCTTTGGGAGCCTTTCACAATCAGTGTGTGGTTCCTGAGGTTTGAGGACAAGTGTACCCCAAATGCTGACCTACAGACAGGTAGCCTTGACCTCTGGGAAGGCTGTCACCTTGGTGCTGGACCCTTTCTACTAGGCTGGTTCTGTTCTAGGGCATTTGGGCCAGGCCTGGAGCAGACTGTCCCAGCCTTCCAGGGAGAGTGAGTCCAGCTTGGCTGCAGTGAATGCTCCAGAGTTTTCTTCTTGTTGGTTTTATCCTTTTCTTTCCTTTCTTCAAGTAGGAATTCTCCTGCCACTGCCACAGACTCAGACCCTCAAGAAGGCACTTAACAGTGTGTGTTCATTGGCCGTTCATGCAGAGATGAGGCTGTACAAGATAGGGCAGGCCTTGCCTAAGGATGGTGCTGGAAAAACCATTATATGTCAGCAGAAAAGTCTGGTGATGAAAACCAGGTTGGGCTAGGAGAAGGCCATTGTCCCCAACTCTGTGTGGGACTCACACAACTCTGAGTTAGGAGTTGGCTACTATAAGAACACTTATATTTCAGAGTGAGCTCCACCATAGTGGCATCTGCAAAGCTTCCTTCCAGAGCCTGTAAACAACAAGGTGGTGCAGGAGTGGTCAAGGAAAAGACTTGATAGGGAAAGTGTTTACTCTGAGCAAGTTACTCGACCTCTCTGGACGGCAGGTTCCCAACCCATAAAGCTTTGAGGGTGTTGGCGACACTTGTCTTGTAGAGCTGTTAAACAGATGAGCTGGCAATAGACACAGCAGCTTGGGAGCACAAAAGGGGTGCCTATTTGGGACCCCAAGAAGTAACTGTCTGAAGGGGCCCCTGGGCCATTATAATCTGGGGCCTTGATGTAAATTCAGTAACTTTGAGGGCAGGGTTTGAGGTCCAGATGCTGACACGGTCTTCAACTTTGCCCTGATACTGAGCAGACAAGTACAAGGTCAGCCCCATGGAAAGTCTGGGACTTTTTCCTGTCCTAATCTCTGCCTGTCTGCAAACCTTGGGATCAGATTGCAGAGGCTGAGCAATCTAGGAATGGGATTTCTCAACGAAAACCTGAGGTTTCAGGCACAGCATGAACCAGCGAGGGTTCCAGCTTGTTGCCAAATGACTCTGGATGTCTGTGACTACCACCTGCATGTTAAATCACTCCAGGGAGGATTATAGTTTTCTGAAGCTCTGTTTAAGGCCAGACAAAATAGAACCATTTCTAACTTACAAAAATCTCATCTCAACTCATACCATTGACCAACTGCAAAGTTGGAATCCTGACCAGTTCTAAGTAGTAGGAGTTGGCTCTTGAGGTAGTGGTCTCCCGTA